TTCGTTTCAGATTAGCAAAATGGTTTTTAGCTAAGTATCCTCTTATTTCCATTCAGGTTGATTCGTTAATTGGAGATCCTTCCCTGGCTGACTTTTTATCTACTTCTAAGAATCCAAACAGCATTACTGGAATCCTCCTCCAGTGGACTTTTTTAAGATGAATGTGGATGGGGCGGTTAGTAGTGTTGGGAGGTTGACGGGTATAGGGGGTATTCTCAGGGATTGAAATCGGGTTACCCTTACTTCTTTTTCAGAGAATGTCGGTCCTGCAACTCCCATTCTAGCAGAATTGATGGCTATTAAAAAAGGCATTGATATCTTTGTTTCTTCAAAATGTGCTTCGAAGGGTAGGCTCATAATCGAAAGTGATTCGAAGACAGCAGTGGATTGGATCAAAGATCATATTTCAGCTCCTGGTTGTATGTATAATTTTGTTAAGGACATTGTGTCTACTGTTTTTGTAAATCAGGTTATTGTTAGGTGGATTCCTAGGTGTTGTAATAACGAGGCTGATAAGCTAGCTAAGGAGGGAATTGGGTGATTGTTGATGTTGTTTTGGTTGGTGCGTTTGTATTAGAGGGGAGCTAGCATAGGAGTGTTTTAAGTCTTATGTTTTCTGTAGGAGTGCTATGTCTTTAGTCCTTTGTATCGGTAATAGTGTGGTTATGTCTTTTGTAAACTGATTCTTCTATAATAAATTGATGCACTCTTTTCCTCCTTCCGCTAGTGGGTTCATGCCTTACGGCAGTGAAATACTAAGGGGGAGGTTTTTAACGAGGCATCCTATTCCTATCAAAAAAAAAATGAGAAGGAAGCATAATTTCTATTTGTGAGCTCAACAGCTCGTAGTGCCTTTGATTTCTTTTATTGCAAGTAGAACTGTATCTTGTTTTTGATTCTTTGCATTAACTTTCGAGTTTTTCAAAGATGGAAAAATGTAAAAGTTTTGCGTTTGCCATCTTCTTTTAAAAGAACTATTTCTCTAAAGAAAGTATCTTTGAAGGTGTCTGAAGCATTTGTCAGCAGAAACCGCAGCACCATTATTGTGCCAGCAGGAAGTACCAGGGATGAAGGGTGGGCAGCCTTCAGGAACATATTGGCAGATATCAATGAGGCATCAAGGCTTTTCACATTGCCAGATCAGGTCTCTTCGTGTTACATTCCTGTGCTCCTCCCTTTCCAGTTTTCTGCTGTTATACATGAATTGCATATTTAGTTTCATTTAATCTTTCAATCTGATAGTTTTTTGTGTTTATATGGATTTTATGAAGCAGCAAAGTTCTGAACCTTCAGAACACCTTGTTGGGCTTTCAGATGATGTTGGAGCTGGCTTCATATCTGGACACAACCAGCCTACCTCAAATTCTGATTTGAATGTAGATAGATCAGTTGAATTGCCTACACAGGACGAAATCGGTAACATGGCGGTTTCAAAGGTTATCAGAGTTGATCAGAAGAGGTTTTTCTTTGATCTGGGGAGCAACAACAGAGGACATTTTTGAGGATATCTGAAGTAGTCTCTCCATTCAACGTTCTTTCTTTTCCTTCCATTTTAAAATAATGTGTGCGGGTGTCTGTGTATACACATATGAGAAATGAGATGAAAGTGCAGGTATGGAGTATATTGGTTGATAATAGGATGGTTCAACATTGCAGGTTGCAGGTTCTGACCGGTCTTCCATCATTCTCCCACTGTCGGGATTAAAGCAATTCCACGAAATAGTGGTTCGTGGAGATAACAAAGGATTGCATCGAAGGAATGATCGGTGCAAATGTTCGAACGGTGGATCCACCTCAAAGGTGAATGCCTGCCGGTTTAACACGGGGAAATTGGTAAAATAAATAATCGTGATTCTGTCGAGTTTGGTTTAAAGCCTTCTGTTAGTTGTTTGATAAGAGATGCAATTGTGCTGTTGTTGCTTGTGCTCTGCTCTGTTATTTTCATCCCACCTGCTCTCATTCAAGGCTTGGAAATAATCCCATTTTTATCTGTTTGATTAACAGAGAAATATTGGAGATATAAGTTGTGAAGTTTAGTTTCATAGGAAATAATGGATATAAAGCTTTTGGATAAATTGTAAATTGACCCTCTCAATAATGTTTAACTTGTTTCATGTTTTTTTTTTGAGTTTTAGAATCAAACACTGCTTGAATGTATTAATATTAATTAATTACTTAATTTCTTTTTGAAGGTAAAAAAAAGGATTCTTGAAACTGTTGCATTGTAGTTTTCTTTTTGTTCATTTTTGTTTGTGATTCCTGTATTTGTTTACGAAGCCGAATCACAACTATAATTGAACTTCGGAATGAAATGTCATTAGTTGCAACCTTATCAACTGTACTGTTTCTCCGGCCTTGGCAAGTTTGCCACGACGCCACAAACCATCACAGAATACGGCATGTTGTACTCGTCTCTGATGGATTTTTTCAGGGGAAAGAATACCCATATCTCGGACCCAATGTTCCACATTCCACAGTTGTCGGTCGTCATAAGGACAGCAGCCCAAGAACGGGGGAATATTTGGATCGTGTGTCGGCTCACCGCGTTGAGAAGGTTGTAATTCATCCTCTTCTCCGGACTCCATGTTCCGGTCTCAACGCTGCGAGTAATGGAGTGCCTAAAACATAGTATTAAAGTCTGAATAAATCAATATGAACATATTTAGGTAGATACTACACATACCCACAGCAAAAAATGAATAGCCGGACACATGCCAAGACTGAATGGTTTTTTCACGGTTCTCGAAGATGATCTCGATGAAGTTTTTGAACTTCATGTTGAGAACAATCGGTTCCTTACGGACTTGTGTGATCTCTTCCCGTGGATCGTCCTTAATGGTGTCATACTTGAAAACATTGACCGCAACTTATAGTACTCCGCGAGTTTCAGCTGAGTGGTTGGTTCGACAAAGGATGCCCCATTGATAGCATATCGAAGCTTGCCGTCTACTTTATTCGCAGTGTTAGCTAGCCTGATGGTACGGGTGATGTTAATGGCACCATATTTGTACGATCCTTGAGGGTTAGGCCTAGCAGCGCTAGCGGTAAGGTTCCAACGGAAGGTACGAAATTGGTTGAATGCCCAAGCCCAACCCCCGTGAGGTGGTGGAGGTACCTTAGCTGAGGCCACTTCCTTGCCATTTTTGTAGCGGATGACGCAGGTGACCGTAATCTCTCGTTTCATGAATCGGGTAGACGCCACGATATAATAATCCATCGGTTCTTGGTCCGCTGTTACAAGCACACCAAAGCACTGCCCAACATGCACATCAAGGGACTCATATTCATTTTGGATTGCGTGAGCACCTTCCATCTCAACTAGTTTCATTTTATGTCCTTGGAACCTAATATTAAGAGATGTCTTAAGCCCTGCATTGCAAATCCTGTACTTGTAAGTCTTGCCAGCCTCCATGGTGAAGAGAGGAGTGTCCTTGCCGTCGTCTTTTCCGCCATTCCCATTTAGGTGGACTCCTTCGCATCTTCCGAGATTGCGACTGCTATCTAATATTTTCTTGAGGGTCTTGTGTCCTTTTCCGAACCAATCCCCGTCTATGATAGTGAAATCATCCGTGGGATCATCATATGGAACAGGAATAAGACGACGACTGTTGATACGGAGGCCACCAAACCCCTGCCTCCTTATGCATACCGGTCACCGGAAAATACATGTAGGAACCAATTTGGTCCTTGACCTGGAAACGATATGTGTAATTAGTCCCAGGGAGGATAGGACAATTTGTTCCCATCACACCATCCTGCCATGAGTTCTTCCCATGTTGAATGCCATGCCTGCCATAAAATTAATCCCACTTCCAAGAATGAACTTAAGTCCTTCATTAAGTAATCGAATCCGAACACAGTGTCTACAGTTTACCATGTGAAAAGAAGCGGCTTGTCGAGGTTGTTGAAGACATTGATCAGGACGTTGTTGTTAGTAGTCAAGTTGATATTCGGTCCCGGAAATTCGCCGTTGATAAGAATGCCTCGTTGGGGTATACCGAGGGGAGAAATTGTGCCGTAGGAGACATTCCAAGAGAAAAACAGGTACGGATCTTCGCCGTGGACCAACCGACGTCGATACGGCTGAGAGACATATCAAAAACATCAACATCACTCCTCCCGTTGTTTCTCTTTGCTTTGCTTTGTTTATGGATCAGTTCATTTGTGAACTGCCGCAAATGACTCTCTACTCTTCCGTTTCTTACATCCTTATGTGGCGCCCTTCCTTTCCTTCGGCCATATGTTCTTCAATGCATGCTACTTTTGCACTCTTACCTTGCAAAACCCCTTTTTTTAATGATAACTCCACCCTTTCCTTTTGTATTACTTTAATTATTATTTCTTTATTTATTTAATAGTGTAAATAACTTAATATTAAATCTTTCAAATAATTGCTTTTATTTTTCTATTATTAAAGTTAAATTTGGTAAGAAAATATTTCAAATGAATTATATATATACATACATATTCAACTGATGCATAAAGATTACGATGCAAGAGAGTTCGTCGTCATTCGTCGGATGATGCAAGCTGTGGCATTTATGGAGCTCAGAATCATAGTACGAGACGAGTATGGCTATTTGCGGGATGCTAATGCTAAATGATGGTTCGAATATTCGAAAGCTATTCGAGTATGCTCTGTGTCGGAATCTGGATTATGTGATATATATAAAGGTTCGTCTACGATAATTCGAATGCAGCTCAAGCTATAGTAGAAATGGATTGCAAAAATGCCCGACTTCTCAGTTACACGCTTGTTTTATAATAACAGGTGACTAGAAACCACTTAAATAATTATGTGATTGTTTTGTCAAAATTGAAAATATGATGACCATATCAACACCGACCCCATAGTTAAGTGATCATTCGAGTAATTTACCAAAATAAATAACACAGAGAGAACAAATAGCTGAACGTGTTGAAAGTTGTGTTCAAAAGAAACTGTTGAAGGGAATGAATAATGGAAAATGTGAATATAATGCCTTTGAACTTAGATTGATATCTTAAGGTACACTTATTCTTAAATCAGAAGTATAAAGTTCCTTGTGAGCTTTAAAATCATAACTCCTAAAACTCCTGTTTTCAATCACACCCTACAAATTTGTATAATTGGCAATCAACCTACTCCATCGTTACTCCTCCGTCACCAACACACGAGAACACTCTACAACCCTATTTTCTTCTCAACCTTCTGAATCTGGTTGAGGAATATCCAAGTCATCTGCATAAGAGAACATCCGGTCACCGGAATATAATTAAACATTCAAGTTCAAGCTCGAGAAACTATATACGGCGAAGAATAAAGTAAATACCATGACATGGGGAGCAATTCTAACGCAATACACGGGGAATCCTGTGTAAAATTTGAATGGTCCTCCAGCCTTGAGGGTTTTCATAGCACAGTCCAAAGAGCCAGTGTATGGATACTTGCCCGTGGCATCAGGTTGCATTTTCTGGATTTGTGTTTTCACGTAATCAAAAGGCAAACTGCAAGCTGAGGCAAAGAAACCCGAAATGGTACTTGCACCTGCAACAATAACGAAAAAGGAACATTAAAAAAAGAGCAGTATGCTTGCTCAAAGATGTAAATTCCTGCTAATAGGTTTTAGAATTAGTAACGCATGCCAACCAATGGTCTTAAGAATTGGGAAACACATGATTATATAGTATTTCGTAATAGCCTCATTAGACTTTACATCTTTCGTAATAACTTCTAATGATTCTGCTACTTGACTATACCACATGATTATATAGTATTTCGTAATAGCCTCATTAGACTTTACATCTTTCGTAATAACTTCTAAAGATTCTGCTACTTGACTATACCAACAAAGTATCAGTGAGGAATAAGCCACGAATTGTTCATGCAACAAATTTAGAACATACGTGAGATCTGTGAAAGACATTTTCATAGTTAAACATCCATGGTGGTTGCTACTAAGAAAGACTCTTACCGACCACAGTAGCAGCTTCTCCTAAGCCAAGGTTATCCTTGAAAAACTCGACACTTTGATCGTATGAGGCAAGCATTCCCATGTTCAATGCCATGGCTCTGACTACCGTAGGGCCTGCACCTTTCCAAAGTGCCAAAACCCCAACAATACGATAGAGAGTATGGAATGCATTGGAGTAATTTCGGCGCTGAGCAGCAGGCAAAGTGGCATCAGCCTGCATACGGATAAGTGCCAAATCAGCTGGACTGCCAACACAGCCCCAATAGCACCAGCAGTCAGACCACACAAAGCCTTCTGGTATAAAGGTAAGGGCTTCCTGTAACCCCCCAGACCGATGCAAGTAGCCCGATCTGATCCGGGAAGTCACATTAGGGCCACCGGAGCGACCCATTATAAAAATAGCGGAAAATTTAAAACTTTTATTGAAACGTGTAACTTATAAAATTAGTTTTCACTATTTAAAAATAAAACATATTTCCAAACTCGTATATAAATCAAAATACAATTACATGCCCCCTAATCACATGTACCCTACTCTGCAACAACGCCGGACGAACTCCCTTACTGAAGTCGATAGATGCACTGGTACAATTCTTTCAACCTGAAAAGGTGAGTAATAGAGTGAGCTTTGGAAAGCTCAGTAATACAGAACTACCAGATGATGCTGATGAACGTGCAAATACAGATAAATATTTATTTCCTTATTGCTTCTGAGCATTTACATATTTTTATACTGAGCAGAGATTCTACTGATATTTCGGGTGGTAACGGACAATTAGCTTTCAGTTCAGAGAAATATTTCGGATGACTGAGTTGAGGAGATCAGAATAGGTTTTCTAGTGTATTCTCGAAAAATTCAGTAAAAAGATACAGATCTTTTAAAACATATATATATATATATACCCCCATCCGTTCACATCATAAATGTGTAGGTTCCCCAGAACCATACACCCAACCGCACATGCCATTTAGACCCTGAGCACAAAGCCGAGGAGTCTGCAGATAATCTTCCTCCAACAATAAACCCCCCAGATAAAACATTTATCCGTCGGTAAACGGAGATATCAGAAATCAAAACATAATTCAGATCAGATATCAGAACAGAATCTAGGTTAGGAATCAGAACAGATTTCAGATCAGATGTCAAAACAGAATTCAAATCAGAAATCAGATAAAATATTCATATAAGTAGGGAACACACCAGAGTTTACAAATATTATTCAAAGGTACTGGATAATCTTAGCAAGTAGAGAAATATGGATCTTCAGTATACCGATAGAATATCGGAATTCAGAATCACTATTGAAAGAGTTCAATAACTGACAGAATCATCAGTTATTCAGAAAGTGACTTGAGCTGATAAGGAAGAAATGAAGGTTCAGGACATTTATATTATCTATCGATTGATCGAATTATCGGACAACTCTTAGATGAATAGTTTCCAGAACTAATGCCTGTCGATTGGTCAATTCATTGTTCTTCCAGGGTATTTACTCTTTAATACCACAATTCTTGTCCATAGACCATTTTCGGAATCATCGTTGAATAGATCTTCCAATGTCTTTATTTCATTTCCACACTTCTACAATATCATGAAATGCTGACGTACTTGATTAATTTGTTCAAACTCATTGTAATTGTACACTACGTAAACTCATCAGAGTTTCCAGACTTATCCAAGTCACTTACTAATCCTCAGTCATTGAAGTTACCTATTTCATTTAGCAGTCATCTCTATTCCAGTTACTTCAGGATTTTCCAGAGTAATTCAAACGTTCCTGAATTTCAGATACATGTTGTACTTTCATTCCATTCAATTTGGTCTTCATGGTTGATTGTCGAACAAACGTCCAATTCTTAGTACTGAATACAATCTAAAGCTGAGTTGAATACTTCCAAAATTTATCATCGAGCCAAACTTGAGAAGATGAACACATGTTCCAGTAATATCTATGTCATTCAGGTATTGACATAGCTTTAGGGTTGATCTATTCACTTGAATTGTTTTCCATTACCTTTAAAGGTAGTCCAATACTTATCTTACTTGGATTCCTTAATTAATCCAAGACATTTACTTAATTTAGGCCATAAGGGTATTTTGGTAATTTTGATGTTCAGTTTTATTCCATTCATTTCAGAGCTCGAGGATATTCAATCATTCCTGAGCTTGGTAATATTCTTGGGTCATTTCTATTACAGGGGTATTTTGGTCATTTTACAGATTCACAGTATTTCAATCTTTTCCTTCCATCCGATCTTATTATTTAATTCAATCTTATCATTTACTTCAGTCCTTTCGAACAATTCTGACAGCAGAATACCCCCGATAAATTTCTCTTCCAGTATTTACTCATTATTCGAATATTTTCAGGTCAAGTGTCTTCTCAGACTTTACAAACGGAATATCATAAATTTTCCTGCACTAAGTGGGATCTTAACAATTAAATCCGTACTTAATCGAGTTAAGTACGAATCCTCTAAGTATTTTCTCATTCAGAGTCATCTCAGACTATTCTACCTCTTAAGGGCATTTCCGTAATTTCTTAACCAGATAAGTTCGATATTAGCTCTTAACGAAAATAATATAAATTAGAGATCCTATGATTAATTGCTTTCTTGAACAATCTCTGATCTTGAAATAATTCCCTTAACACACTTCTAGTATCTTGCATAAACCCTCTTGGGGTTAAAAACCGGTTATCCATAATGTCTACGTATAACTATCATTTCTTATGCACATCAATATTTTTATCAGATCAATATGTCTATAAAATCCTCTTATTTAACTTCCATATTCCAATCTTGTCTTTTTATAACACAAGGGTATTTTCGTAATTTTACCCTACCGGAGTATTTTCATAAATTCACATCCAAATGCCTTTAACATTTAACCTTTGATGAAATAAATTATAAGTTACAGATCCAGGTTGATTTCTTTACCACTAAGCACATAACTTGTAATTTAATTCTAGCAATCCCTTAATTTCTTATAAAAGTCATCTGAACCATAATCAATTACTGAACCTTTTTACCGTATTCAGATCGAGTGTAGAACTTCATTAATTACACATATGAGACCAAACATTTCCATTCATGCATTTACCAATACCAACATGTTCTATAAAGCATAAAGAGGTAGTAAAGTATTACCTCGATTTCCGTGCAATACTGATCGACCATAAAAATTCCATTCGAACGCCTTTGATCTTCAATTCAACTTCCAATAATTCCTCAGATACATATCGACATAAATTATATCAGAAACGGAGCTTAATTACGATAAACGGATCGAATCGGGTGATAAATCAGTGAAAGACGGCTTACCGAGTTCGAATTTGGCGAAACGGACTTCGGATTTGGATTCAGGACGTTGAAAGCATAAAATATGACTTTTCAGAAATTTGGAATTTTCGGTCAAAATCAAAGTCAACGGGTTTGACTGACAATTTCGAGGCCTTCGGGTTCGAATTTCGAAAAATGGACAGCGGAATCAGATTTGGAACGTCGAAAAATGTCAGGATAGGTATACTCGGTCGAAGTCAAAGGTCGTTTAATGCCCGATCAAAGCCAGTCAAAGTTTTGGTCAACAGTGGTCAACTCCGGTCAACGGGTCAACGGTCAACGGGTCGGGTCAACGGGTCGGGTCGGGTTGTGACCGGTCAAACCGGTCAAAACAGCTCCAAAACCGGTCAAACCGGTCACTTTTCCCTTCCCCACGCGCAGTGGCGGCGCGTGGGGGCGCGTGAACAGTGATAAAATCCCGGAAAAATTTCTAAAAATTATTTTGAGCGATTTCGAGATACTTACAAAGCTCGGTTCACAATTTTGAACGGCGGAGAGCTCGATTTCAACAAATCGAGAAGTTTGACCGGTTCACCTCCCAACGCGCCGCCGCCGCCGGAGAAAAATGAGAACACCGGTGGACTCGGAACGGCACAAGGAACACGATGGTGCGGGAGGTGTCGTAAACAGATGACCCGATCGTTGTGAATCGATGAAAAACCAACTAAAACTGAGTTATTACCGACGATACTTCCGACTGAAATTCACGACGAACGGCGATGATTCACGACGAAAGGTTTGAGGGGTTTTGTTCCTTGGTTGACAACGAACACGATGGTTGTTTCGGCTCGTCGTTTGGAGGTCGGACGGCGAGTAGATCGGAGTTGGAAGTTGGGTTGCTGGAGAAAGGAAATATGGAAAATTTCTGCTGCCTGCGCACGAATCAGATTTATAATTCAACATATTAAAAAAATGGTTAAATCATGGGTTTAGCCACTGAACTTTCTGCACTTCTGAAAACGGTCTGCCAACTTTAGAACTTTACAATTTAATCCCATGTTTCTTTCAAATACCAAATTAAATCCACCAATTTATATTTCTTAAATTTAGCCCCTAAATTGGGGTGTTACAATTCTCCCCTCCTTAAAAAAAATTTCGTCCTCGAAATTCATTCATTTTACATAATTGCATAAATGAAACTTCCATCAGTTCTTTCAAATCTATCAATAGCTTTTATAAAAGTACGATTCCTCCACTTATCCTTAACCAGCTGAGCATACATTCTTATCATAAATTTTTCCTTATTTCAATAAAAGAATTTAAAATTTTCTCGAGTAATCAATCTCTTCAGAATTCTCCCTCAGTCCAAGTAAATAATCAGAACAACTTTATTCTTGTGAAATCAATTCAGCATTGGATACGTGAATAGGCTCGTAGAGCAACAACATATCTCAATTTCATTTCCGGAGTCGAGTCAGAAATTCTCAGATGAATAACTCTCACATGACTCATGAGATACTTTACAGCGTTTAGACAGATGTTACTGGTATTCCTTTTTGTACAAGTATAGCCTTAGCAGATAGAAACTTTGGTTTACTCAATACAGATAGGGACTCAGCCCTGGAGTTCCGGCTCAGAGAGGTACGATTGCAGTCTAGGGGCATGTACTGATCAGACATATTTTGACATTCGACCGGCCGGTCTAACTTGAAAATTTTTGACTCAAACCATAGCTCTGATACCACTAAATGTAACCCCCCAGACCGATGCAGGTAGCCCGATCTGATCCGGGAAGTCACATTAGGGCCACCGGAGCGACCCATTATAAAAATAGCGGAAAATTTAAAACTTTTATTGAAACGTGTAACTTATAAAATTAGTTTTCACTATTTAAAAATAAAACATATTTCCAAACTCGTATATAAATCAAAATACAATTACATGCCCCCTAATCACATGTACCCTACTCTGCAACAACGCCGGACGAACTCCCTTACTGAAGTCGATAGATGCACTGGTACAATTCTTTCAACCTGAAAAGGTGAGTAATAGAGTGAGCTTTGGAAAGCTCAGTAATACAGAACTACCAGATGATGCTGATGAACGTGCA